CTGGGATAACATCAGACAGACAAAAATTGTTTGTCATCTATGTATCACTCTCAATTTATACACCTTGTTTATTCATTTGCACCACCTTTTTGCACTATAGGTCTTTCACATATTGTCTCAGGTTTGTCCTATGTATTTGTATAACATACCGTGCAGTCAGTCGTACAGTGTCATGCTTGTTGCTTACTTTGTGCAATTCCAGAAATTAGGACATATATATTCCATTTCTATAAATTACTACTCAATAAACAGTATATGAACACACATAGACCAAAAGAATGAGATGCAAGAATGAAAAACGTTGGGTTTTATTTTGATGATGAAATGCAAAGTGTAAAGCGCAAAGTGCAACTAACATTTATGGGCGTGTCCAAATCTATTTTACTATTTTGTTGACGGAAATGCCAGACTTTGTGACACCACAAGGCACAAGAAGGTTGTCCTAACTCTCTTAATTATTCAGAGGGGTGTTTTGGGCATAACATGCAATGAATCAATCGCAATGACTCGTCATCTCAATTGATGAGCCAGGCAGGGGCAGATGAGTTACGGTGCATTGCTATTTTGATGACGTGTTTACTTGGCAAACCCAATCAGTTTTTGCCCGAGGAAATTGATGTGCTTGTGCGTGATTTAGAAATGCAGAAGCTCCTAATTTACGGGAGCACCACTGTTCCACCTAAACCTTTGGAAGTGAAGCAGGTGTAGGATGAGGTATCAGCGAGTATCTTCTCGTTTTCTGGCATCACTAGATCATCCACGCAGTACCTAAAGTGGCATAATGATATCAGAAGACGGAGAAAAGAGAAGCTCGCTGCTGAACAAGCACAACAGCTGGAAAAGGGGACTTAATTATGCTTCTGTGTTTTTTTGTACTATTTTAATTTTGGGTCTAAAACGTGCTGTTTAAATGCTGTTTAATAATATGCCACTTACTTTAGACATAGTTTTTGTTGGTCAAAAGTGATCAAATAGCAATGCACCGACAATACACCCAGCCACACCTCATTTAAAAAAAAAAATTACAATATTTTGATGACGTGCATGCATGGTGTAAAACGTGCTGGTACGAAACTAGCAGAACCACTTTGCATCCACTTTGCACTTTGCGCTGGTGGAAAATAAGGCCCAATGACTTTACTGTGTTTATAGAAAGGGAGGCAAAAACAAAACCTTTAACATTATCAGGAAAGCAAATACATCTGTGATATTTGAAATACATTACAATTATGGACACTTTTTGCATATTCAGTCCTTAATCTTGTAATATTGAGCCACATATACATCGAACAGATTTTGTTCCTGGTGATCAAGTGGGGGAAATACCTCCCGGCAGAGGTGCTGCTGGACATTTTGGGCCCTATGATAGCAAATCATATTGGTCCCGAACCCAGATAAATCCAGTTATGTTGCAAAATTTTAGAGCCCTTGTCATTCAGATGCTAAATGCTGTCTGTA